TCGAGAACGGGTGGCGATATCGAGATGCGGTTTTCACTAAAATTTAGCAAATTTTAAGGTGACTAAGGGTCTGTGAAGTAAATAGTATCGTTCCATTTAACTTTTCTTCAAAAATCACAAAAATATGTAATCGCTGCAGATAACGTCCTCTAGCTCATTTGTTTTAAAGCAGACGGTCTTACTGAAAATATCTTTAAAAAGAGCATAAAATGCTCTTTCAAACAACACCGAAAACATTCAAATCGGTTGAATGGTCTAGGAGATATTAAAATGTAAACATATGAAAACGCATTGGCCTCCCCCTCCCTTATTATGACAGATATGAGAAATATCGCAAAACAAAAGCGATGCGGTATTATCCAAGCTACTAAATGATGTTGTCAAAGTTATAGCTCATCGTCTAACTTTCTGAGATAGCGGGAATTTTATGTTTCTTTATGGCAGTTACGCCCCCTAGCGGTCGAATTACGAAATTCAAAATAATTTCCAGCTGTTTCTATTGCCCACTTTGCTTATAAGGATTTTTTTCCCAAACCTCTAGGCATTACCGTTGTTGAGATACAGCCGCTCCGTACGCTTAACGGGACACCTGTACATATTTATATGTTTATATAAAAAACTTGTGTTATTTTGGCAACTACTACGTCCTAGTAAAGTTTCCCGATTAAAAACTTAACCATCCTGTATATGAGCATACCTTATATTCATCTACCTTGCCTAGAACTAGAAAGTATCGGGTTTAACCGTGCGTCTTCAGACATAAAAAATTTTTAACAACAACTTTTTTATGTTTGGGTCCGAAGTTTGGGATTATTCCAGACTCGACTTCTGTCTCAGTTCCTAAATTAATAGCTGATATTGAGAATGTAATTAGAATTGTACCACATAATGAACAGAATGTAAAAAGAGCTAGATGTACTAATATTCTAATCAATTTTTTTTAGGAGAAAAAAGATCAAAATAATATAGTTAAACCATTAATTAGTAAAGCTTATTGTGTTACAAAAACCTTTCTGAAAACTTATTTTACTTAGATTACATTGAGAAACCTATTTACGACAGGTTAATTTGCCACAGCGGTATTATTCCTAAATACTACGACCTTCCAAAGATCCCTAAACGAGATTGTCCCTTGATCTATTATAGACCTATTATTTCTTTCGTTGGCTGACCCACGTATGAGTTGTCTAATTTTGTGGCTCGTATTCTGACTGAAGCATTCAAAGAGAGTTATACTATATTTAATGTTAACATTAAATTTATAGTATACTTCGTATAACATTAAAGACACTTTCACCTTGGTTGAAGAATTGAAAAGGAGAACCTTACCTCCTTGAAAAACAAATTATAAATGAAAAAAATATTGGAGGGAAATACTTAAACGTGTGATAGCGACAATCAAATTTATTTGTTCATACTCTTTAGCGTTTCGTGGAAAAAATGAAGTGTTTTTTAGTGAAAATAATGGTAATTATATAGGTGCTTTGAAATATTTATCCGATTTCGATCCATTTTTGCGGGAACACATGAAAAAATATGCAAACTGCGGCACCGGTACTATAAACTATCGTCTACAATATGTGATGAATTTATTTCTATTATATCGAAAGATTTATAACTTACAATAGTGAACGAAATAAAGGAAGCGAAATTTTACTCTTTTATTATAGATTCAACACCTGATACATCTCACGTAAATCAGCTGACCGTCATTATTCGCTATGTTCTTGCAAGTGGTCTAAAAGAAAGATTTTTGGGATTTCTACCTATATTTTCTCATACTGGTGAAAACTTGGAGAAAGTTATTTTAGCTAACTGTCGGGGACAGAGTTATGATCATGCGTTTAATATGTCAGGTAAATATAAATAAAAAACTTGATACATTTGAGTATGTACTGTTACTTACTATATGGGAAAAGATTTTAGAGAGAATAGATGCTTCAAAAAAGACGAATCCCTAAATACAGCAGTTTTAATATATTAGATTTCATACAAACAGGTCCGTACAGCTACACCCCCCATTCAAGATATCAGCATTTTTATACTGCCATAATTATGTACTATTTATGTACTAATTTTGTACTACATTAAAAAATTTTGTACTAATCATTTAGTATTTTTTTGTATCTGAATGACTGCAACAAACTTCAAGGGGTGATTCTTTAGTGAATTTTAAGGGTACTTTGATATATGAACTATGNTTAGCGTTTCGTGGAAAAAATGAAGTGTTTTTTAGTGAAAATAATGGTAATTATATAGGTGCTTTGAAATATTTATCCGATTTCGATCCATTTTTGTGGGAACACATGAAAAAATATGCAAACTGCCGGTACTATAAACTATTTAGCGTCTACAATATGTGATGAATTTATTTCTATTATATCGAAAGATTTATAACTCACAATAGTGAACGAAATAAAGGAAGCCAAATTTTACTCTTTTATTATAGATTCAACACCTGATACATCTCACGTAAATCAGCTGACCGTCATTATTCGCTATGTTCTTCCAAGTGGTATAAAAGAAAAATTTTTAGGATTTCTACCTATATTTTCTCATACTGGTGAAAACTTAACGTTATTTTAACTAACTGTCGGGGACAGAGTTATGATCATGCGTTTAATATGTCAGGTAAATATAAGGGACTCCAATCCAGAATAAAACAACATTCATTAAATTTAATTGGAAACGCTGCTGCAGAAAGTTGCATGGAAATGACCACTTTTTTCAATACCGTTCAGCAATTGTACGTATTTTTTTCAAGTTCTACATATAGGTGGAATGCATTACAAAAATGTTGTAAGAGCAAACACTGGTGTATCAAACCTATTTGTGACACCAGATGGTCTGTTCGTTCCGATGCTGTGAAATCCTTAAAGGAAAGTTAGAAAGAAATTAAACAATGTTTACGTCATTTTTTCTCAAACAAAGATGAGAAACCATTAACAAGGTCCGAAGCTGCCGATTTACATAAAAAACTTGATATATTTGAGTATGTACTGTTACTTACTATATGGGAAAAGATTTTAGAGAGAATAGATGCTTCAAAAAAGACTCTTTAAAAAAAGACGAATCCCTAAATACAGCAGTTTTAATATATTAGATTTCATACAAACAGGTCCGTACAGCTACACCCCCCATTCAAGATATCAACATTTTGATACGGCCATAATTATGTACTATTTATGTACTAATTTTGTACTACATTAAAAAAATTTGTACTAATCATTTAGTATTTTTTTATACAGGGTGTGTCTGAATGACTGCAACAAACTTCAAGGGGCGATTCTTTAGTGAATTTTAAGGGTACTTTGATATATGAACTATGGGCGACAATAGCGGAAAATTTTGGTTTATTTTTTTTTTCTCAAAAACCATGAACGCTAGGAAAATGAAATTTGGGGAATATGTTTAACTCATAATAGGGCACGTTTTGACCCTATTTGTACTTTCAACCTATCCTTCTAAACTACTAAACAAAACCACCCCCGTTCAATTTATGCCTAGATTTTTTTTATGAAGATGATAAATACATTGGAAAAATTACAGTTAGATAGGTAAAACTATTCTAAAACTTTTAAGCTGTAGGGTTGTTAATCGAAAGTTGGAATGAATTTTTAATGAAAAAACCTTAGTAGGCTTTGCAGTCTTTGTCAGAAATATTTTTGACGTTTAAATGTCAATGGTTTTCTTACTATTATTATTATTTTATTTAAAATTTTGAGCGTAAATGCGATAGAACTTTATTCAAAAATTAATTTGAAAAACAGTAATAACAGTAAGAAAAACATTGACATTTAAACGTCAAAAATATTTCTGATAAAGATTGGAAAGCCCACTAAGATTTTTTCATTAAAAATTCATTCCAACTTTTGATCGACAACCCCGTTGTTTAACGGGCAGTGTTTGCTTTATTATTTTTTTTCTCAAAAATTAGTCGTTTTTGAGAAAATTTTAGAGAGACAAAAAAGTTTTAGGATACTTTCATCTAGCTATGTAAAATTTTTCTAATGTATTTATCATCTGCATACAAAAAATTTTAGCAAAAATGTAAAGGGGGTGGTTACGTTTAGTAGTTTAGAAGGGTAGGTTGAAAGTACAAATAGGGTCAAAACGTGCCCTATTATGAGTTAAACATATTCCCCAAATTTCATTTTCCTAGCGTTTAAGGTTTTTGAGAAAAAAAAATTAAACCAAAATTTTCCGCCATTTTTGGAGGGGCGTAGCTCCCCAGGGGGGCCGAAGTCGCCCATGGTTCATATATGAAAGTACCCTTAAAATTACACTAAAGAATCACCCCTGGAAGTTTGTTGCAGTCATTCAGATACACCCTGTATATGTCAAAGTGGGGAGTGTAGCTGAACGTTCAGTTACACCCCCCCTCGATATACAACCTCCCTTTCAAGATATCAGCATTTTGATAGTGCCATCGTTTTGTGCTATTTATGTACTAATTTTGTATGATATTAAAAATTTTTGTACTAATCATTTAGTATATTTTTTATATATATCAAAGTGGGGGTGTAGCTGGACGTCCAGTTACACCCCCCTTTTAAGATATCAACATTTTGATAGTGCCATAATTTAGTGCTATTTATGTACTAATTTTGTACTATGTTAAAATTTTTGGTACTAATCATTTAGTATTTTTTTATACAATTGTCCCAACTTTTTGGTACCCCCTTTTTTCTTTTAAACTATAACTACCACAGATTTGATATTTGGCACATCGATACAGGACAAAAAGTTTTACTTTATGAAGTTAGTGTTGTTACTACATCACTTCCGGTTAGACCGGAAGTAGATGATTTATAAATTATAATATATTTAACAGTTTTTATTAACTTTTTTTTACAATATAACAAAATGTGCGGAACAATAAACTTGGATTTAACTTCACGTTCTTCCGCAATTAAATCGTCAATTTCTATGTAATCTCCATTGTCGTGGAAAATAATTGACGTGTAATGACACACGTCATAACTCAGATCCATATTTTCATCACAGCTCGGTACACAAATATAATTTACAAATCCCTCCAGGTGGAAATCTTCACCTTGGAACGATATCTTACAGGGTATATCGTGTATATTTGTCCGTTTAAGGCTGGACCCCTCTGTGTAAATGTCAATAATTAAGTACAGACCTAAAATATTATGTGATGTATTAGAAGGATATAATTCAAAATGGTCTCAGTTGTATTTTAGAAGTTACTGAACAAACAAAAATTGCGAGCCTTGCTTTAACAAGACACTTACCGCAATATGCAATTTTACTTGCAGCATTTTTGCCGCATTGCACACAAGGACACCTTTTTTCTTCACAAATTTCCATACAAGTTTTTTCTAAAAATTTTATACTGTCGGTGTTCACAGCTAAACTTTGTATTGGAAAGTTTTATAACCAATTGCAGCCCATACATTAAAGCGACATTACTTTTCAATGAGAAGCGGATTTCCCTTGAACAAAAGTGGTACAAGCTCACCCACCGAAAAATCACATTTTAAAATGGTCGTTTCGCCTACCACTCTTTGATTCTTTTCCGGCATTATATCTTTCAAAATTGTTGTCCTTGTAGAATATGTGTTGGACACAATACCTTAAATATGCGGCTATAAATCAGTAAGTTAATCATGACAGTATTTTTTATTGTGTGATATCTTTATAGTTATTTATGTATCAATGCTTTAAAGCCGGTCTTTTTTAAGCTGTAATAAAGGCACGTGAGTATTAAAAAACGTGTATTGTTATACAAACGTGTCATTAATTATTTATTTATCGGCTTTAATACATAAATAACTATTTAGTATAGATTGCAGAAATATTATATTATTACGGTAGTTGAATTGAGAGTAGCCATGTTAGCTCAAGTCACTAAGTTAGTCTATAGACTCTATAGGCTTGTCCCAACATGCGAAAAAAATTGTTCCAGAAACCGAATTGCTATTATATTTAACTCTAAAACCGTTTTTGAGCGGTTTTCTGGCTTGTTGGCACAAACCTCATGTCAACTGAAAAGTTCTTTACCATTGTTATACAATTTAATCAAGTATTTGAAATTATTGCAATTATCCCAACTTTCAACAATTCCTCTGGTATGTTCATTTCTCAATGACTTTAAAAACAACTGACTGACAGAATCAAATGGGCAAGTGTTGTATACACTAAAATTTCTGCCATCAATTTGAGATTGTTTTAGCGTTAAACAATTCGCGTTTTTTAAAATGCATTTCTCCTTGCTCTTTCCATGGAATGAAAAATCGCTACATTTAAATGTGGTAGTTATAGTTTAAGAGAAAAAAGGGGGTACCAAAAAGTTGGGACAATTGTATAAAAAAAATACTAAATGATTAGTACCAAAAATTTTAACATAGTACAAAATTAGTACATAAATAGCACTAAATTATGGCACTATCAAAATGCTGATATCTTAAAAGGGGGGTGTAACTGGACGTCCAGCTATACCCCCCACTTTGATATATATAAAAAATATACTAAATGATTAGTACAAAATTAGTACATAAATAGCACAAAACGATGGTACCATCAAAATGCTGATATCTTAAAAGATATCACTGATGATATCACATTGACATATATAAAAAAAATACTAAGTGATTAGTACAAAATTTTTTAATGTAGTACAAAATTAGTACATAAATAGTACATAATTATGGCAGTATCAAAACGCTTATATCTTGAATGGGGGGTGTAGCTGTACGGACCTCATACAAACTGTTAGAGATGATTTTGACAATTTAGAAAGAGACACAGAAAAAGTTAAAGATATTGCATATACTAATGATAAAAAACGGCAGAAAATACGAAAACTATTTCATCATGAAATTCCAGAACATGAAATAAGATTCAGCGGGAAAGAACATTTAAAGTTAATATTTCTTTTGTTGTATGCGATTCTTTAATTAGCAACATTAAAAAAGATCTGAGGGATATAAAACTATTAACAATAAATTCAAAACAATTTTTCATGATAGTGATTGTTGGTGACTATTCAATAGAGGAATTAAAATGTTATGAACAAGATTTAAACCTAGCAGAACTGAAAAATGAAGTATTACAATTTAAGACTTTTATAAGTAAAGAAAATATTATTTCGCCTATGTCCATGTGGTCATTTATTCAGGAAAATAATATTATTACAACATTCCCTAATTTAAACATCATTCTGAGAATTTATTTAACCGTTCCAATAAGCAATGCAAGCGGTGAAAGATCATTCTCAGTAATGGCCAGAATGAAATATTTTTTAAGATCCACATTAGGCCAACAAAAATTAAATAGTTTATCATTCCTTTCTATAGAAAAAGAGATATTAAATAACTCTATTAATTATGACAAACTAATTGACGAGTTTGCAGAATTAAAAGTGAGAAAAAAGGCAATATAATTAATCAATCTGGGTATATTTGTTTAAGTATTATTGTTTGTTTTAATAAATTATGTTTATTTAATTTTTGTGCATGTATATTTTTTTTGCTTTTTTTTCTTGGAATCCGATAATTAAATAGAACTACATACTATATGCTTTAAAACCAAACGCAAAGTATGTGTCATGACTGAAAAACCTGAAAAATAGGCCCGGAATTACAATGTTGCCTAGGGCCCGCCACTATGTGTGTCCAAACGCTTTTGGCAACACTGACTTATTACAATTCAATTCAGTAATAAAGTGAACACTATGTATATAAACGCGTGATGGTAATTTACGAGAGAGATTTTACTGATCAATTTCAAAGAAAAACTTACTTATTAATCACTTTTTAGAAAAATCTCAATGTTGTATTAAGTATTAAAGTGCTATAAATAGAAAGAGAGAATACGTTACTATTTCCATCTATGAACTGAAATTTAAAATGTTTTAAATTACTTAACATCATAAAAATTGATGTAAACCGGACGATATAGTTGATAACCTTTTAGTAACTAATTAGATACTGAGTATCTCCTTTGATGTGACTGTTTTTTATAATTACATTCAATACAGTATGATAAATCTTATTGGGGTCATATTTTTAATTATAAGCGATGCAGAATGTGAAAGTTCTATGAAATCTCTACACATCGTAAGTAAATAATTTAATAGTAATTTAATTACACAAAAAATCCAATTTATTAATAGCTATTTAGACATGGAGAAAGAAGTCCTTCAAAAAGTTATCCACTTGATCCACATAAAGATTATTCATGGCCAGGTGGTTGGAATCAGTTAACTAATGTAAATAATGTTAAAACCTTTATACAAAGATAAATAATAATCATTGTAATTTTTGTTTTTTAGAGAGGAAAATTAGAAATGTACGATTGTGGCGTTAACATTCGTAAAAACTATTCATTATTTCTACCAAAATATTATTATCCAGATGATGTTTCCATATTAAGTAGTTATGCAGATCGTTGTCAGATGAGTGCACAACTATTTCTAGCAGGATTGTATCCTCCAATGGACGATCAAATTTGGAATTCAGATCTTCTATGGCAACCAATACCACTTCGTAGTTTACCAAGATCTGAAGATAATAAATTAGCGCTAAAAAAAGAGTGCCCAAAATATCAGCAAGCATTAAAACAAGCTTATGTATCACCTGAAATTAAAAATTTAAACAAAAAGAACAAAGATCTTTATAAATATTTATCAGAAAACTCAGGTAGTGAAATAGAGAACATTTTGAAAGTAGAAACTTTGTATAATATCCTGCAAATTGAACAACTTAATAATTTAGAATTACCTCAATGGACAAAAACAGTTTTTCCTGGTAAAATGAAAGACTTGGCAGCTATGTCTTTAGCAATTTTCACACAAACAGATTTTATGAAAAAAATGCATGGCGGGGAATTGGTTAAAGAGATCTTATTAAACATTGGGAATAAAATTAATGGAACTTTATCGCCAAATCGAAAATTATTTCTTTACTCCGGTCATGATTTAACTGTTGTAAGTCTAATGAGAATCCTGGGCTTTAATGAATTAATTAAACCAGAATTTGGTGCTTCCGTTATTATTGAACATCATTCAATTAATGATAAAGATATCATTAAAATTTTCTATAAGAGCAACCCTTATGCTGATTTAGAAGAAAAAAATCCTAATTATTGCAATCAAGTTTGTTCTTTCAAAGAGTTTGTAAATGGAATGAAAGAATATATTTCTGAGAATTGGGATGAAGACTGTAAACTTGCATAATTTCGAATAATAAAACTATAAAAATTAAAAACTTACCTTTAGTGTAGTACAATAAAAAAATACCTAATTATTAATATTATATTAGACATTTACAGTTTAAATAAAAAAACTAAATTTTGTCAAATTATTTATTAAGAACTTAACCGTACAACTTTACTTGGCATGAGCCTGAGCTTTACGCATTTGAGTCAAAATGTTGGAGAGTTCTTCACGCTTCCTCTTGGCACGAATATGTGTACCCAAACGACGTTTTAAGAATTTAAGAGCCCTCTTATCCTTGGATACCTTCAACAATTCCATAGCGCGTTTTTCATATGGAGCATGACCCAAAACTTCCCTAATCAAATCTCTGACAAATTTGGTGTGTTTCGTCTGTGTCCCCTTCAACCGAGCAGGGCGTACTTTATCGCTGGATGGGATTTTCGTCGTTTTGTGGCCTTTATTAAGGCCCACACAAATTTCATACGCTTTCACCATGCTGTTAAGAAAAACAATTTTTAGGTTAGGTTTACGAATATCTTTTATAATTAAAATCTAATATTGATAACTTTTACAAGTTTTGAGTTGTTGGTTTTGGAGTTATTTAGGATGGATTTTGAGTTTAATACTTACTTTACTGGTAATATTTCCAGTAAAAAACAGCAGTCGTGATACACGCTGTCAAATATACAAATAAAAGGAAGATGGCGGATACGAATTTCCGGCTTAAAACGTAAAATATGTCAAAATGAAGGATTGCCAACTTAAAATATCCTTCATAAATTTCGGATTTAATTATTAATATTATTTAAGTATGTCTCTTTAAAAAAGAATAAATTAAAGCAAGAGGGAGATATAGAAACATTTTATTCGTAAATAATTGATAAAAAGGAATCTCAATTATAGTGTAATATAAATTTTTTTAAATAGATATTAATAATTTAAAAATGTAGGTTAATTATCTAAGACAGACAAAAACAGTTTTTCAATAACGTTTATTTAAAATTAATAAATACTTTGCATAAATAATTGCGCGCGGACTATTAATCGGTGCAATGTAAATTTCTAATTTCGCACTAGCGCCATCTTTTGTTGGCTGGCTGCAGTGGCGGGCTAAGGCTAAAGTGGGCCCTAGGCAACATTGTAATTCCGGGCCTATTTTTCAGGTTTTTCAGTCATGACACATACTCTGCGTTTGGTAGTTTGGTTTTAAAGCATAGAGTATGTAGTTCTATTTAATTATTGGATTCCAAGAAAAAAAAAGGAAAAAAAAATATACATGTACAAAAATTCTGTATATTTTTGACTGTTTTGAAATAAAACTATATAAGAGGTGAAGCTGAATACTAAATAAATGTATAACTACTAAATTAGGTCCGCCATTGAAAATAGTATTTTTTTTTAATAGACTTCGTTGGACTTTTCACAGCAAATTTTATATATTCGAATAGACTAGTCCTTTGTAAATGCGCTAAAATAAGCTGCTACCGAAAATTTACTTATGAACTTTTTTGTCTGAATTTACAAAACATGTCGAAAATTAGTTAGTAGTTGACACAGAAAAAACATAAAATTCTAATGGTTGACAGATCAAAGTATTAGTAATTGACATTGAAATAATGTACAGATTTTGAACGTTTTATTATTTCACAAGAATCTTTTTGTATTCTTCTTTTATACAGGGTGAGTCAGAAAAAATGGGAAATCCGAATACCGGAGACACTAGACACCAAAATATGACGATTTAACCTAACATGTCTTATACAAATGTAGGTGGTTTTTAATACACAGGGTGTTGAAAGTTAAATTTTTATTTCGAAATTTCTTGATAATTTTGAAGGTTTTTGTACTATTAACATAAAATTTGGTAGTTAGATGTTTTCGAGCATGAGAAATACGAATTTGATATTTCTTTTGTGATTACTCGTAGAGGGCGCTAGATACACACTGTATGTTTGAGATATCAAGTCATGACTATATTGTCAGTTGAGGTATGGTGAATTAGAACCAGAAATCTGAAGAAGTTTTCAATTCTGCACAAAAAAGGTACTCTTACATTCATTGTCTAAGTCTACTGGTTTCCAAGTTATCTGCTTTTAATTGTTTCAAAGTAATTTTAAGGTTAACATTTAAAATCAATAACACACAGTAACTATAGCAATTAGTAACGATAATAATCGATAACAATAACAATTAATTAATAACAATAGAATATTGTGACCATTTTCAAAAATCCAGTGGACTTAAATCTGGATTTCTCACTATTAAAAAACTCATTATGTCGTGGCATTTTCAAATTGGTAATAACTTTATTGTTGGTAAAAATGATTATTGCACACGGAAATTAGATCAGTGTTGACAATTAACAGGCAATTGTCGAAACATAAGCGGAAAAATAACCCTTCAATCACTTTGCTTATGTTAAAAAATAAATATTTCAGAAGAAAAAATACATTTAAACACTTAAAAGTAAATAATTCGGAAACCGGTAGACTTAGACAATTTCAATAAGAGTACCTTTTTTATGTAAAATTGAATGCTCTTTGTGATTTGCAGCTCTGATTGGTCGTAGCTGTCGAGCTAAAAAACTTGTGATTTTATTTATCAAACGAGCAGCGTGTATCTAGCGCCCTCTACGAGCAATAACAAAACAAGTTTCAAATTCGTATTTCTCATGCTCGAAAACAAAAACTACCAAATTTTATGTTAATAGTACAAAAACTTTCAAAATTATCAAGAAATTTCGAAATAAGAATTTAACTTTCAACACCCTATATGCCTCGAAAACCACTGACATTTGTATAAGAGATGTTATGTTAAATCATCATATTTTGGCATCTAGTATCTCCGGTATTCGGATTTCCCATTCTTTCTGACTCACCTGTATATGGATGTGGTCCCATTTTTCTCTTCCGAGGAGTTTTGCCTTTTGATTTGTATAATAATGTGACTCTTGGTATATCATATTTTTTGGCGGTCGTGGAAACTAGTTGTCCTCGTAAAACTTCCTCTATTTCTTTTTGCATAGTATCTTCACTGTATCTAAACATTTGTTCCTTGATTGCCGGCATAATTAAACTGAAAATTCAGTTTTCAGTAGTTGACATCCAAAAAATTTTGTAATTGACAAGGTGTCAACTACTGGATAGAGTAGACATATTGAAATCATATTGGATATGCAGTTAAGAAAAATGAATATAATAAATGTAGTGCTATAAAGTATATATTAGTAATTGACCATAAAACAGTAGTAGTTGACATCTGTGTCAAATACTAGAAAAAAACTTCTTTTTTGTGTTAGTGTTTGACATCAACCCTTAACCTTATTTTGGAGGTTAAAATAAATTTATAACTGTAACAAGATATTAACTTAATACCCATACAATGGAACGACATATACACAATCACAATCATGCACTATTTAATCAACAAAAACTTTTTGTAAGAAAATACCTTCTTACCACTTTTACTTAGAAAAATCACTTCACTTAAAATACACGCTACCTTCTGATGAAAAATTGGCGAGAATCTGAGGTTCCGTGATGAAATAATTCCGTATGTCCGGTGTAAACGTATAAATGCTACTACTTAGTAGGCTATGGCATTTACGAAAGTATTACAATTTATTTGAGAATCTTATTTTTGTCGTTTAAATCTAAAAGTGTCAACTATATATGCAATGTCTATTACTAGTGCTTTTACCTGACTAGCAGGTAACTAATAAGTAATAAGTAAGTAACTTCAACTCCTTATTCTTAAACATTATTATTATCAATTTTGCTCTAATCATCTTTTGCGGAATTATTGCATATGATGTGACATCAATTCATTCGTTAACCTTCTAATTTGAGGTGTAACGTCGCAGCTATATTATACAACACTAAAGGAGAAGTAATTAAAAGTAAACTAAAACTAGAACTAACACTGGCGTTATCACTACAACTAACACTAGACCTAAAACTAGAAACGTTCGAACTTATTTCTGAAGAAGGTTGCAACATAGCATCCGTTAAACACGTTAAACATTTTTTTCAAAAAACGCATATCTTAACCCGAAACTTTCTAGTTCTAGGTCTAGTGTTAGTTCTAGTGATAGTGCTAGTATTAATTCTAGTTTTAGTTTCATTAACACCGGCCGTGAAAGCCTCCATACTTATAATTAAAAGTATCCTAAACAATAAATTGAACTAGAGGTGTTGTTATATGAAAGGTTTTTTAAAAAAAGACCACTTTTCCTCCGTAATTGTTATAAATTAATCAATCTGAGACGTTTCGGGAACACCTCCCATCTTCAGTCTATATCTACATTCGACACCGATTAATTTTTGTATTTTTTTGTGTGGTTTGAGATTTTTATGGTCTTTTGTTGTGGTTTTTTTGTAGATAATATTACGAGTGACTATTTGTAGAGTGAAGATGGGAGGTGTTCCCGAAAGGTCTCAGATTGATTAATTTATAACAATTACGGAGGAAAAGTGGTCTTTTTTTAAAAAACCTTTATCCTAAACAATTATCTAGGAATAATTTAGGAGTGTAGATACGAAGATACTCCCAATTAAAAATTCTGGGCGCATTTCTAAATGTAAAGTTTTCCGCCAGAGACGTATAGTAGCAGCGTAAGCAGCTGGTGAAAATTACAGTTTAGATGAATTGATACCTGATATGTTACCCGCTAAATACACCTCCAAAAAAGAAGCGTTTTTAAAAAGTATTTATAAACCGGAAAACGTTGCTATTAGTGTTATTTTGTTCTATGGATACCACGTTGTATCGAGATAGAAATGGTATAAAGATTTTTTGAACAAGAAAATGAAAGAAAAATTGAAAAATTTTTATTTTGATAATATGTTGCCTGAATGGGGTCATACACACTTATTAAATTTAGAGAAAATTTTTACGTAAAACGATATATGCAAGTATATGTATGAACACAAAGTAAACGAAATATTTTGATATATTTTATATTTTGCGTAATTTGAAGTGGAAAATAGTAGGTATTCAAACGAAATAATATCGCGGCTTTCTTAAAAAATATTTTATTCTGGCCATTACTGAGAATGATCTTTCACCGCTTGCTTATTGAAAGGGTTAAATAAATTCTCAGAATTATGTTTAAATTAGGGAATGTTGCAATAATATTATTTTCCTGAATAAATGATCACATGGACACATTCGAAATAATATTTTCTTTACTTATAAAAGTCTTAAATTGTAATACTTCATTTTTCAGTTCTGCTAGGTTTAAATATTGTTCATAACATTTTAATTCCTCTATTGAAGAGTCACCAACATCACTCTCATGAAAAATTGTTTTGAATTTATTGTCAATAGTTTTATATCCCTCAGATCTTTTTTTAATGTTGCTAATTAAAGAATCGCATACAACAAAAAAAATATTAACTTTAAATGTTCTTTTCCACTGAATCTTATTTCATGTTCTGGAATTTCATCATGAAATAGTTTTCGTATTTTCTGCCGTTTTTTATCATTAGTATATGCAATATCTTTAACTTTTTCTGTGTCTCTTTCTAAATTGTCAAAATCATCTCTAACAGTTTGTATGAAATCTATCAATAAATCATATATTAAAACTGCTGTATTTACTTTTGTATTTACTGCTGGATTCGTCTTTTTGTTGAAGAGTCTTGTTTGAAGCATCTATTCTCTCTAAAATCTTTTCCTATAAACAAGTAAGTAACAATACATACTCAAATGTATCAAGTTTTTTATGTAAATCGGCAACTTCGGACCTTGTTAATGGTTTCTAATTTTTGTTTGAGGAAAAATGACGTAAACAATGTTTAATTTCTTCATAATTTTCCTTTAAGGGTTTCACAGCATCGGAAAGAGCAGACCATCTGATGTCACAAATAGGTTTGATACACCAATGTTTGCTACAACATTTTTGTAATGCATTCCACCTATGTGTAGAACTTGAAAAAAATACGTACAATTGCTGAACGGTATTGAAAAAAGTGTCATTTCCATGCAACTTTCTGCAGCAGCGTTTCCAATTAAATTTAATGAATGATTTGCGCATGGTATAAAATATGTTGTTTTATTCTTTATTGGAGTCCCTTATATTCACCTGACATATTAAACGCATTATCATATCATAACTCTGTCCCTGACAATTAGTTAAAATAACTTTCTCCAAGTTTTCACCAGTATGAGAAAATATAGGTAGAAATCCCAAAAATCTTTCTTTTATACCATTTGGAAGAACATAGCGCATAATGACGGTCAGCTGATCTACGTGAGATATATCAGGCCTTGAATCTATAATAAAAGAGTAAAATTTGGCTTCCTTTATTTCGTTCACTATTGTGAGTTGTAAATCTTTCGATATAATAGAAATAAATTCATCACATATTGTAGACGATAAATAGTTTATAGTACCGGTGCCGCAGTTTGCATATTTTTTCATGTGTTCCAGCAAAAATGGATCGAACTCGGATAAATATTCCAAAGCACCTATATAATTACCATTATTTTCACTAAAAAACACTTCATTTTTACCACGAAACGCTAAAGAGTATGACGAAATAAATTTGATTGTCACTATCACACATCATTTAAGTATTTCCCTCCAATATTTTTTTTCATTTATAATTTGTTTTTCAAGTTCAGTCTCAATGCGTCCGGTAATTTTAGATCTTGTTATAAAAATAAAAATGGAGTTAATGTGGTCACTGGAGTTTTCATGCTCTGACAATTTTTTATGTACATTTTTCCAATCATTCGTCCTTTTTGTCATTAGCGTTGTTTGCTTGGAAAATAATTTGCAGATTTTTTTAGACGTAACTTTTTCCCCACTATTAATTGTTCTGAAGGAGGCAATAGTTAATTTTCTTGTAATTTGTTTTGAGCCTTCGTTGCATGGAATAGAAGATGATCCCAAAGATCCATTTATTGATTTTGGTGGATTTTTTATATAATACTCTCGCATGGCGTCTGTTAAGTATTCTGGCTCTGGCCATAATGCAATATCGTTTACAAAACTCTTAGTTTCATCATTACTTTGAGATGATTTTAAATTTATATTTTCTCTTTTTATTTCATCTTCACAAACGGAATTGCTTGGTTTTTCCTGCTGGTCTTTTTGCAGAATAGTTTCGGACACAAATGATGTTTCTGGAGTTTGAGCAGGTGAAATTTGTGATAATGATGACGATTGTTCTCCATCCACATTTAAAAATTTGTCCAACGATGTTTTCATTTGTTTAGCCATTTTATCTCGATCTGCTTTTTTTTTCTTTTTTCACTTCCACTTAAATGTTTATAGGAACTCATTTTAAATACCACATACTAAAAAGAAAGAAGTAAATGATCTTCAATTAAATTTATTTTTACTCAATATCACAATCACAAATAAAATCACAATTTGTGGTGTTATCGTTGAGGCGCAGAACTACAATTTCCCAAAAGCTCTTAATGACTTTCAAGAAAATTTCAATTTGTCTCAAACTGTAAATGTCAACGAAATGGTAGTATATCTGGATATGCCACCCCATTACACACTGGAAAGAAGAGGTGTGTGGGAAAAATTGCGCATAACATTGATGCTAGCAGTAACGGAAAAAAAGTAAGAAAAAATTGCTGTCATTACTAATATTGAGAAAAAACCATTCTGAAATCTGAAAGACTTCCCGAATGACGTCCTAGTTGGAAAAATCTTGGAAAAGCTGATGATGGAATGGTTAAGACAAGTATGGAGTCGTAGACCAGGAGGATTATTAAATAAGGATATTAATTAATCATAGACTGATTGCCCTTGGTTTAGACTTCTTGTCATAATAATAATACCTGGTGGAATAACATCCATACCACAACCTGTGTATGTATATTAACAAACTCAAACCCGGGAGCTATTAAACGAGCTTCTGAACTTGTTCAGTGAGTGTAGGCGACATGGAAAACGATCTCTGAAAACAATATTATAACATCATTTAAGAAGTTTTGTATAATCTGAATTGATCCGAAGATGACGTAATATGGAAAGAAAATGATACATAAAAATGTAAATATCGTTCTAAAACCCTTAATAAAGTGTTATTGTTATAATGTGATTTTATTTTACTATTTTCCAAATTGCAACTATACGACTGCGAATCTAATCCGCACCCGATTGTAATCCGCATTTGATTTTAGAGCACATAAAGTTTGTAAAAAAGGTGCGGATTACATTCGAGAAAATACGGTACCTACCCGCCGAGTATTTACCCAGCGCCCATCACTGGTTCTAATGGATGGTCGTCGTGGATGACCCTGTATAAAACACGTGATTATCATGATAACCAATATAAATTAATATACATCTGTTTAAATAATAGCACACATTTTATTCATAAATTATAATAAATTCATAAAAAAGATAAACATTTACACGCAAAACACTCAAGTGTTTTAAAGTTAAAAATAAGCTATAAGCACCTTTATTATTTCTTTAATCAACCTCATCTAATTGAACACCCATAGGACCCAACATATTACTTGACGGTCCAGCTTCGCCCATTTGGGACCGATAGCTCTCCAAGATATTCTTCAAAGCATTCACATCGATATCAACAGGTTTAAACGTTTCAATATCCTCAAAACTTTCCTCTTTATTTTTAAAACTTTCTCCAATAGTTGTCTTAGATAGTTCCTTATCCATTTCATCCATTAATCGACGCATTTCAGTCATTCCTCCTCCAACTAAATTTTCTTCATCTTTACCATAATCACTCATATCAGAGTCTGAACTTGATTCCCAAGAATCATCTTCTGGGATAACAAAATTTAAAATGTCTTGTACCGCGCAAGCAAACGAGGACGGATCGAAATTGACTCGGTTGTTGGTTGGTGTTGGATCATTCTGGTTTGAAAATGAAACGACTTTGTTTGGTTTTTTAGTTCGAGGTGGTCGCGTTGGAAGCGTACCTAATGGGAATTCAGCACCTTCCAAGTCCGACACGTGATTTAGGAAAGAGTCTAAAGTTTCTGTGAATTTTGTGGGATCAGTGTCTTTATTAAGCTTGAAAATGCTGTTTTTTCCATATTGGTCTTCTAGCATTTTATCGAGTTCTTCTGGTAAGATGTTCAACCAAGACTCATCGTCGTTTGGTGGAAGACTTTTTTCCTGTTCTTTAAAATAATCATAATTAATATTCAACTGTTTTAAAGAATTTAAAATTTCCTTTCCTAAATTGTTTAAGTTATTACTCCCAGATGAAGATTTATTTATATTTTTGTAATAATTCTTTGCTTTATTTAAAAGATCATTGTACTCTTTGGAGTGTTCTAATAAATTTTTAAAGTAACCTTTTTCATTTAGTTTTTCTATGTACTTCACAAAAGCTTTATCATTTTCAACTTCTCCACCCCTTGCTTGCGATACTAATATTTCAAAACCACAGGCTAATTTAACTCCCAAAGATTGTTGTTTATATTCTTCACTATTTATTGGTGGTAAATTCCAACCCGTTTTTCGATCCGGTTGATATTTACTGTTAATTAACATTGCATATAAACATTTAGTAAAAGTAACATGTGACAAAACTCTAACTTCTGGTGGAAAATACTTCATTGCTCTGCAATATTTTACATCAATACTATCTCTGTTGCAAAAACTTGTCACAGCTGATGCAATTAATTGTGGATTTTCATTCAACAAAGCAGCCACTCCAATAGGCAAATAAACATTTACATGATGCAAATTTTCTTTAATTTTAATTGGATAACACTCAGTTTTCCTGTTAATACAATTTTGGATATCTTGAGATGCTACTGTTAATGAAGGTTTTGATTTTATTAAATCAAGAGCTGTATTAATACTGAATGTATCATTGTTTTTTGTTTCAGGAGGTATAATATGTAAAACACCTTTATAAATAAAGACACGGTTATCACATGTATCTGGATTTGCCCAAGATGGTAAACAATTTGCTGCTTCAATTAATAAAAATTCACCATCAGTATCGATAATACGAGCAACTAAACCATCTATTTCCTTTGTTATTTGCTTCAATAAGTAAACAACAAACCATTCATCTTCTATATTATCACCATAATGTAATACTCCATGAAGATGTGGAGGAAGATGATCTAAAAACAGCAAAATAAATTGAAGTGGAAAAAAAATTTGGAATCTAACCTTTATTAACACTTTCAAAAGATTTTATTGTTAAATTAAATGTATCCCTATGCCAAATATATTCGGACATGTACTCTTTAATCAACTTATTTACATTGTCCATTACACTTTTAAGTTTTCTTTTGCATTCGTCCTCACAGAAACTTTCCAAAGGAAACAAAAAGTATTCCACAAAGTCATCCTCACGGACAGTTTTAAGAACATTTCCGTTCATTTTTCTTTATTTACTTCTTTCTAATAATTTATTGTTGTCTTTTAACTTTAAATCAACTCGTATTCGATTACTCACGTTATTAACGATTACTGTGACACACTTTTCAATAAGGAACACACGTTATTTAAAGTACGGTTTTGGTTGTTTAAGAGTTTAGGAACCGTTAAAACATTATACTTTATGTTATTATTTTATATAGTATATTACTTTTGTTAAAACATAACGGTTGAATGGGTTGAATGCCGTTCGTTATTATTAAGCGTGTACGCCTTGAAAGATACGCATGCGCTGAATTTATAGGCAATATGAGGTTATGTATGAACGTGTAACTTGGGTTAACTATACAGGTGTCCGCTGAGGTATCCGAGAATCTTTGTATATGAATTCTATAATTAATTTTAAAGATAACCAATCGACCACGTCGATTCGACGTAGGTTATCTTTCTAGGGTTAACGTACTATAAAATATGGTTATCTTTCTAGGGTTAAGCACAAACGATTCTATTCACTTTTCTCGAATTCCAAACGGTTGTTGAGATATCGATGTTTGAAGTTGACAGATCGTATGAATAGGACAGGATGTATATAGTTGGCTCATCCAATGCTTTTATTTGACTCCACGCTTTTAGTTGATAATATTCTCCAGAGGTGGCGCCCTTTGTATTAAACTTATTATACTCTGTTTTTAAACCAGGAGGAGTATTTTAAATTTGTCACCAGATTGACCTTGCACGTGATTGGTTGAATGCGAGGAAGGTTCACACACAGGCAATTTTGAATTTTGATTTTGAATTTCAGATTGACCTTGCACGTGATTGGTTGAATGCGAGGAAGGTTCACACACAGGCAATTTTGAATTTTGATTTTGAATTTGAAGGTTAGGTTATTGATAATTCGACAGTTTCGTGTCATTATTGTAAATTTTTTTTAAACCCTTTTCGTCTTCAATTTAATTGAATTAAATCTGTTCTTTTTAGAACAAGGTATGGATCGTGACCCTAATAGTCGTTCACAACAAATTTCACCTCCGAAAAATGTGCTGCTTGTAGAGATTTTGCTACCCCTCAAATATACTCTTGCGATTTCTCTTCAAGCATCTATAAAAAAACATTATATAGTAAAAACCACGAGAGCTGGCAGTGACAGATCGCTTAAAAATGGTATGAATCAAGATATGAACGTACGACTTAGATTATTTCACCACATACATTTAAATGTAGGTTATGTTAGTAATGGAGGTTATATGTCAAACATTGTCAAAGATATTAATTTAATGATTTTCCTTTCAAAGAAAACATTTTCGGCTTGTAAAAACACTAACAGAGTCATGACAACGCTCACAACACGTTTCGATTTGAGGTTATAATTATAGAGTTACATCCCTTAGAAGAACAGACGTACTTTTTCGACGTGGCCATTTGAATTGTACAGGAGACATATTAAACGAATGCTATCTCTTTTTAACACACATTACTCTCTAGCGGTTTGTGAACTACGTATGGCATTTGTAAGAGCGGAAAACGATGATTTACTGCCAGCTCTCGTGGCGTCTACTATAACAATGTATATACTTTATTATTATAGTTCTATATAAATTTTATTTTATTTACTTTTGTAAAATTTTATTTTAAAATAAATATACTCATAACCTCAATGTTAATTTATATGTTTAGTGTTGACGATAACAAACGAAAATAAACACAATAATAAGTAAATAAATAAATAATAATAATTATTAATTTAAATTTACCGCCAAAATATCTAGTGATATTTTCTGGTGATTTTTCCTAGTGTAAATCTGACTTTCGCGTTTACTCCTCCTGGTTTAAAAACAGAGTATAGTTCTAGTGCAAGTGTTAGTTCTAGTTTTAATTGTTATTCAGCGCTAAGTTGTATATTTTTAAGTTTCGGGTTTAGCCCTGTGTCTTCAGACGCTGAATGTTAGGTAAGGTTAGTTTTGTTTACAAACATTAATTATACCATGAAGTATTCTTTGGCAATTTGTAATGGCAATTATAGCGTGAAGTTTTCTTTTGTAATGTCAATTATAGCGTGAAGGAATGTTCGGTAAGGTTAGTTTTGTTNCACATTATGACGATTTCTATAACCCGAAAATGTTATTACAAGAGGCTGAACAAATCAACCCCATAATAGTTTGCATTAGAACTTTTTAATACGTCTACATTTTTCTATTTAAAAACTTGATTTAAATAGTGGGATTCAATACGCAACTTTTTTGTCTCTTGACGTTTTCTCCTACAATTGTTAGTTTGATCACAAAAAAATAAAATAATACATAGGCTCAAGTGAATTAATTCAGAGATTAATTATTATTAGTCAAAGAAATGAAGTTATGTCAAATTGATCTCGGCATTATTTTATTTTTTATGATCAAATTAACAATTTGTTAGTTGTAAAATGTCAAGAGATAAGAAAGTTGCACATTTTTCCCTTAATTTTAGAGGGCTATAACTTGGAGGAGAAGGGGTTTTGAACAAAAAGTTATATGAAAGACACCCCGTAATTTTCGCTGAAAAATCATCCTTGAAATCTTTCACATCAATTTAGAAACACTGGTATAATAAAATCAGAAATACTTTATTTTTATTTATTTAATTGATTCTAATTAATATTTCTTAATTTTCGTATTTGTATTTTAACCAAAGAATTCTTAATGACGAAATAATAAAGAAGGAATTTGTATACGTGAAGTCGTTTATCCAAACTCGGGTAGTAGCAAAAAAACTTTGTTTATACTACATACTCGTTTGATATGTGTGATCCATTAAACTGTCGGTCGGCCAATTGCTCAAAGGAACGCTCGGCGCTACCACGTCTGGAATTAAGTCTGCAATAGGACGAACAAAAATCAAAACTGACTTTTTATATTTTTACTACAATTTAAACCGAAAATAATTATTGGTTTTTTTTATTCTATCCGAGAAAAGTACTAATTGATTTATTTAATTAGCAAGTTAATTTTTGGTTCTCTATTATAAAAAAAGGACAGATATTTTTTAAAATATTTAGATGTAATGCTTAATAGTTATTTAACCAACAAGTCTATTAATGAAGGCGATTAATTATCGAGATATTTTAACGTCCACAATGATGAGGACATTGACTCTGAGCAATTTCTCTTATTTTGGGAGGTGTACATCAAACATTTTTTTCAGGTGAATATATTTTGTGTTTTCACAATTTCTAATTGGCAATTCAAAGTTTCTATTTTCAAGTGTTCCGGTGTTACAACTGCTACATACCTATTTCCCTACATTGCCAAAATTATATATTTTTGTTAAAAAAAAGTATAAAAACGCGAATTACAAAAAATAGCATAAAAAACACGTTTCATAAGACTTAAAGCACTCATTCATTAAAAAACTCGTGGCTTCGCCACTCGTTTTTCAACTTGAATTCGTGCATTTCAAGCGTGTCTTACGAAACTTGTTTTTTAATATACTATTTTTCTAAAGTTATTGATTTTTTCACCAGTAAAGTTTTAAAAATAAGGTTACTTAAAATTTATTAAACTAGCAGAATAATAGTATATTATTCAACAAGCGTATAATGGCGGCTGTTACCCACGAAGATGAAGTTGCAACACGAGCGAGCGAATAGACATTTCAGACATAACCTCCATATAAGAAAGCTGTCATTTCTGTTAATATTTTATTTTTTGATTAGTAGGCCGTGTCAGAACTGTGGAATAATGGCTTCATTATTCAACACTTTGTCAGTCATGGGTAATGCGTGTCATTACCCGTCAAAAATCAAATGTATAACGAATAGATAATTCAATAGTTGTAGATAAAATAATAAAATAAACATCACTCAGTTAAGGAGCCTTAATAAGTTAAAATGTAAATAGAGAAATTAGGGTATGGATTGGATGGATTTGATTTATTGAAATAATACAATATGATAACTGTAACCATTATCTATAAACAAAGCTGTAACTGAGAGAAAAAATTTATTATACATAAAAATAAAAAATATAAATAAAAAGTTAATAATACAATAAAAAAATTAATTATGAGACAATATATTAATTTTTTCGGATTTATTATTGGTTTGTTTATTTAATAAATTAACTNGGAATTCTTATTATTCTTAAAAATGGATTTTTTAAACGAAGGATATTAGAAGTCTACAGTGTGTCCCAGGATAGATGTTACAAGAGGTATAATGACTTAAAAATGTTTGAATTTTATTTCAAGGCTGAGGAATTAAGCCCTGCTTGGTGTGGAGAGAATTTTAAGTATATTATCATATTTTGAAAATCAACTCGGCCTTGATAGTGAAGCGAAAACTATTTTGAGTCCAGGTAAAGTAAGCTTTTTGTTCATGATACGGCAAAATATCATCAAGAAAAGTTATTCAGAATGAGAAATTATGGCACTATGCAAAATTTCAGAAAGATCTACCTAGATTAATTAAACCACCATATCCTTGCTTATAGATATACATAGTTATTCAACCGATGTTAGTTTGTGCACATGATACCCAGATGGCAGGGTAATTTATGTGTCGCCATTCATAAAAATTTAAATTTTACTATACGCGCCCTAACGTATTACTACGAAAAACGTAAAATAAGTTGCATATATTATAGTATTTCTTGCATAGAAAAAAATCGATAATGTGTCCTTAGAGAATAACACCGAATTGTAAAAGACTATTCGTCAGTTGGTACCGATTTGTAGACGCCAATTTTTTTTAAGTAGGTGTATGAACAGGTTTTATGAGAGGAAACCAACTGCGTTGAATCTTTTTAAGAAGTTTGTTTAAAAGACTATATTTTATATACCGAGTAAGGCATTCAAATTGAGACTACCTAATAACTCATAAAACATCAATTTTATCAAAAAAGTTTCAAATAAAACTTTCATCGTATAAAGGCGGAAAGTATCCTGAACGATTTTTATTGCATATTAGAAGCGCCATCAATATTTTTCAATTAAAAAATTAAGTATGCTTTTCAAAGGGTACATGTTGTTTGATATGCATGGTTTTTCGAAGTAAGGGCCAATTGAAAAGTTACCTATAATCCCACACAATATATTAACTGCCCAATGTCGTTACTAATTCATTTCACGTAACCAATAAAAATTTTCTAGTAACCAATAAAGCATACTTGTATCTAATAACAAAATTAAATTGGCTTTTGGATATCATTCTCCTAAAGCTCTTGATGCAAAGTCGTTTGTCAAGTTGGCACTACATCTTGCGATTTCAATAAAAAAATATTGCATTGATTGTCGTTTAATTAGTTGTAATTTGTCGTAAAGT